AATATTATAATCACTTAATGTTATTAAAGGTAAAAAAACAAAATTGAAATTTATTAGATAATTATTAATTAAAAAATGTGACCACAAATTAAAAAATTAAAATGGATGAATTTGTCAATAAAATTAAAAAATTTTAATCCACTAGCGGTTTGGTAAAAAAAGCTACATAAACTAATTTTTTCAATCCGTTAGCGGTTTGGACCCTAACTGCTAACCGTTATCCGCTAATCTTAAACCGCTAAATAAAAATTTTACCAAACACTTTATTTGTAGCGGTTTCGAAATATATAAATTTACTAAACACCTATATTTAGCGGTTTAGGTAAAACTGTTAACCGCTATATCAAACGGGGCCTTAGTAGGAAGTGGTGATTGTGTTTGGAAGTTCATGGATTTGGAGCAATTTGTGCAAAATAATTGAATTTTAGTGTGAAATCACTCAAGATAGGGTTAAATAAATAAGGGATGGAAGAAGAAAACCAGATACGAATTAACTGGTTGTTAGGGATGATTAATGGGGAAAAAAATTACTCTTTGGTCCCTTAGTAATTTTGTTTAGTGCAAATCTATCCCTAAAGGTTTAATAAGGTTACAGATTAATGCTTAGACATTAAATTTAAGATTAATTACTATTTAATCCTTTTCACTTTCTCATGTTTAAAATAATCTCCATAAATGATTATGTGATATAGATGTGAATTTAGTTGAATCCTTTTGAATTTGTGGGTTTATGTTATGATGTTCTTTAGTCATTTAATGTATTATTTGAATTAACCAATTTTAAAAGGAGAAAAAAGAAAAAAAATGGTTTGGGATTTGGAGTCCCCATGGGAAGTGAGGAAAAGTAGTTGATTAAGATTGGACATCCCAATCTGTTAAGGAATCCAACTAAAAAAAAAAAGCAAATAGAAGTTGAGGGACCAGTATTATTATTTTACCATTCAAGAAATTGCATAATGGTCCAAAAGTATGACATGAACTTGTTTTTTCCACAATGGATGAAGGTGTCAACATAGAACCAGTTATTATGCAAGTCTGACACAATGTAAGGGTGTCAACACTTAGGTAATTTGCAGCAATTGAGCATTGGAAGGTTTTAAACCTTTTTATATTGTGTATTGATATTTATACACAACGTATCAAATTTTATGTGAAGAACATTAAAAAATATTTATTAGGTAATTTGATTTTATAAATAAAAATAATTGTTTACATAATAAATATGCATATTAATTTTTCATTAGATTAAAATATATATTAAGTGCAACACATAAAATATGTATCAATATTTGGAGGTTAAAGATATATGGTTAGTAGCGAATAAATTATTAATATGACATATTTTTCATATTTTTTGGTTTGAAATTATTTTGTAAATATTGTCATGCACATGATATATGCTATGAAATGCATTTTGGAGATTAAATTTCAGAATTTATTAAAGCAATTAGTTATAGTTGGAGGTACATGAGTTTTATATACTTATAATCTATATATATATATATATATATTGTAATATCTTTGAGTTAAATTTCTTAAAATTGGTTGTACTACTCATTTATAAAGTTTTAAGTTGGACTATTAATAAGGAAATTTATGGACATGAACAAATGAGTAGATACTTATGAAACCTTCGTTTTCATGAAAAATTACTTATTTTCATATGTGGTTTAACATATGGGTTTCCTAGTACTGTTTTTTCTAATAAGGAAATAAAGTGTTCATATTTGGATGTAAAGAACATATATACAATTGCTAATAAACTATCTTTACAAATTAATTATGCATTTGGAAAAAGCATAATTGTTATTTTCTATTAGCTCTATGGAAGTTAAGATAATTTTTAGAGAATATATATTTAAGGTGCACTAAGGATTGTTGAGAATTATAGCTTCAATGTTTTGTTAAGTTGTATCAAGGTAAATTACAATAGTATAATCATGCAAGGTAACTAAGTATGATTTTTCTTATATCGATATTTTATTCAAGCTAAAGTTATTTGTTTTTATACGTGGGTTCTAGCATATGAATTTCATAGTTTGACTATCAATTTTGAAACCTTTAAAGGGGTTTTGTGGAATTAAAGTTTGGGTATAATTCATAATATATAATTTAAGGTTAAATCATTAGTTATATAACAGATTTGTTAGCAATTAATTACCTTTAAGGAATAATTAGATATGTTTATTATGCATATTAGTGATAGTTTAATTGTGACAGTGTATGAAAATTTTAAAATCTCAAAAAAAAGATATTTAATAAAGTTCTAAGAATTTTAGAATTTGTGTATTTTGATTTATTTAAAATACTAATGAGATTTCATATAATTTTTTTTTGAGTATTAAAGTAATCAAGCCAATAAGTATTTAAAGTTTTCCAAAGGTTTTAATATTCTTTCAATTCATATATTAAAGAATTATCATTATTAAAAATTATAAAAGATATGGTTGAGATGGATTATAGAACCGTATATATATATATATATATATATATATGATAGTCCTAATAATGTTTTATGATTAATATGAATATCAAAAGTTTATTTATTAGGACTAATGATTTTTGTCACTTAAGATTTTTGGGTGTTCCAATGGGAGATTGGTTAATCTTCCAATAAGGATTTTAGACTGTTATATTATTTATGGATAATTATTTCAGTGAGAGCTTGTGAGTTGATGTAGATAGTACTACCAAAGTAGACCATTTATTGAGATTCATATGTTTTCCAATCAGGATTATGGAATATTATACTATTTATAGGTAAGTGCTTCAGTGGGAGCACGTGAATTGACATGGGTGGTATTGTTAACATGGGATATCTATTAAATTCGTATATTTTTCAATAAGGATTTTGGAATGTTTGTTTCTTGAAATTAGTGTATATAATTACCTGCCCAAAGGTGGGTGATTGGGCATATTGACTAAAAGAAATGTAAGTAGTTAGTAAAGGATTTTATTTTGGTTTTATAGAGAGTTTTCTACCCAAAGGAGATTATTTTCTATAAGACCATTCTTATTAATTCATTTGTAATAAAATTTTTAAAGTTTAATAAAGTTTCATACCCATTGGTTGTATTAAATTACTATATTATTAAAACTAGTTGATCTATTGGGAAGATCACATATGAATTATTAAAGTTAAGGTGTAAAGTTGCTACTTTCATATTAGTGTATGCAATATTTTGCCAAAAGGTGATTGTTATATGCATTAATTTGAAATAGTGGAAGCAATTAATAAGAATAATAAGTAATTATCCATATTTACTAAAGGTTAATTTTTTTACTAATTGACTTGTTAAGGTTTAATTTTATGGATTTATTTAGCCAATATAAAGTGTAAATAAAGTAACATATAATAGTGTTTTGAACTCTTAAAAATGAAATAGAATCATGCTATAAAGAGAAAGTTAGAGACAACGCACGGTTAAAAGACACAAAAGGAGAAGGAATTACTTCTCACCAAAGTTAGAGATTTAAAAGAGAGTTAACGAGCTTCAGTTGAAGCAAAGAAATGGTGATAAAGTCAGAAAAGAAGAGTTTTACAAAAGGATTGAGTCAAAGATTCTGATTTGATTGTTGAGCAATATAAATACATGAAGTTTCTTGATGGTCACAACAGGTTGAAATTACAATATAACTACCTCTTTTGCAAGAGAGACTTTACTTTAAAGCATATGACAACACCACATAAATTAGAGTGTGAAAGCATTATCATAATTAAAATCCTCCATTACTTTTCTATTAGTTAACCTTCTACTTTGAGATTGGCTCTCAATTTTATAGCTTTATGTTAATGTAAAGTTGATTATCCACTAACATAATTATTTTAGATACATTTAAAAGGTTATGATAAAATAATGTGTCTTAAATGTCAGTGAGAGTTAAATAATTTATTATTCTCAATTACTTAATGTATAATGTTAAGATTATGAATATGAGAAGGTTGCATGATTGCAATGGAGGAATTCTTAGACATGTGTGTTACGAATTATATGGAAAATAATTTTTGTAAAAGATGCAATTGCATTTATTGAAGTTGATAAAGTCTTGTTACTCTTATAGTTTTTGTGTTTGATCAAAGTTTAAAGATCATATTATTTTGAGTAATGGATAATGGAGAATTGCTTCCTTTGGAATATTTTATATTTGATGGTATTAGTTATTTATGTAGATAACTTGTTGATAGAATTGGGTGGAAAAAATATATCCAAGGTAATTGTTATCTATCTTGTAAAGTAAGAGTGACATGAAGGTGAAATTATGAATAATGATTATACTCATACATTATTGTGACTATGTTAACTAATTTATTGATAAAGAGATTATAATTTTATTAGTTATCTATGTGAATTGTTTTAGATATTCTTGATCAGTGAGAGAAGTTGATTTCTCTGTTAGTAATAAGTTTTATTTTAGTTTTTGTATCACTTATTAATTTATAATGATGCATGTGTATTGTACTAATGATTTTTATGAGCTCAAACAGATATTGATCTTGAGATCTTGAGATCTTAAGGTATAAAGTATAAAGGCTTCTTTGGAAGTGTAAAGATTTTTCTAGAAAAGTGAGAGAGATTATCTCTTGGGTTTCTATGAAACCATAATAAAGTTTAAAGGCTTCTTTGGGGAAATGTAAAAGATATTACATTTTGATAAAAAGGTTTTTTTGAAATCATAAAGAGAACCGTTGTGATTTTGACATGTTATATATTATATGGATCATGTTGTGTCAAATCACACTACACTTTATCTCACCTATTGAAATTAATGTTGGTGGAGATATTTGATACTTGTGATTATGAGGGGTCTTGTGTTATTAGTGATATAATAACCGCACAATTTTATATTGATATTTTCATGGAACAAAATTATGTACTGAGATTTTGATTTATATTTGTGGCCATTAAAGTTGTGTTTGACTCAAGAGTCATTTTTTTAAATATGTTTTTAAAATTTATATCAATTAGCATTGCCCAAGTGGGAGAATGTTGGAAATTTTTATATGAATTGCCGTTAATTGTATTTGATTTTCAAAATTGGGTCAAATGGAAAATCGATAAAGTCTAATAAATTGATGTAATCCAAGCGAACCTAAGTTTTATCTCAATTTTATATGGTGTCATATGAATAGATGTAGGGTATGGAATTAAATGTGGGCTACTTGATGGAATGCTCAAAAGATTATTATAATGACTAGGTCATCTCTCTCATTCAGAAAACCCTATCTCTATAAATAGGAGAGTTGGACGTGACCCATTGGTTGTCATTGTACAGAAGTTGAATAGGGAGAGAAAAACCTAAATCCCAATATTAACAATATTTGTTTTATAGATTTTATCATGAGATATCTAATTATGATAATTCTTGAAGATTTTTAAAGATTTTTAAGTAATATATTGATTATAAAAATTTAAGTATATAATTTATTTATTTTATTAAATCTTGATATTCTAAATCTTATGTATGTCGATTCTTAAAAATTATAACATTATAACCCTCTTGGTTGTTTTGGTGTACGTTTGAAGGTTTTACAGTGGGCAGGATAGAATGTTATGGGAGCGAATTGAACAACGGGGATTTGATCTGTGGAGGAAGGACCGGAAACTATGAGCATTATGTGACTGACAATCCTAGTGATTATTTGTTCATGGTTAAAATTTTCTTTTAATCATTTTATTTTAACAAAAAAACTCTTATTTAATCTCTTTACTTAGGAAAGTCTCTTTTTAATTCCTAAAATTATTATTAAACTCCCTTTTAATCAATTTGTTATATTTTTATACACGTGACACGTTTGATAATAGAAATTTTAAAATAAGAAACTAATAAAAGACTTTTTTAAAGTAAAAGGACTAAAAAAGAGTTTTTTAATCTCTTTTTAATTTTTTTTACTTTAAAATTTCAGTAATTTAACTTGTTATATGTGTAAAAACTGATAGAGAGACTAAAAATGAATCAAATAAAAAATTTTAAAAGCTAAAAAAAATTTATCTTTAAATAGAAGGATAAAAAAATTATTAAAATAAAGAAATCAAAATGAAGTTTTACCCTTGTTCTTTTATGGCTTGGATATATCGGAAAAGGCCAACAAGCATATCGCAGAGCTATTTTGGAATGGAACTTCGGACGTCACGGGGCCTAACAGTACCAAAGCATTGCTGGATTGATCACTTTGATGAATGCATAAATGGTCTTTCGAAATTCATACACCAATTAATTACTCTTTTTATTTTAAAATAATAATTATTTTTTTACTTTAACTTTATTTTAAATTAATTATTATCTTTTTATTTTATTGATAGATAACTTTTTTTACTTTAATTTATTATTATGTATTTAGTTCGACTAATAATCCTATCACAAAAATTTTTATTTTAACTTTTAACTTTTTTTAAAGGTAAAATAGATAAAAAAAAATAAATTGTTCTTAAATATTTAATTTAAAAAAAAAACAATTATTTTAAGACAAATGAAGTAAATAAAATAAAAATTCCTTTGAAATAACACTTTCTTTGTAATAATCTCAAGGATTTGATTTATTAATAAACAAATATTAGTTTATAAACCAGATATAAAGTTTAAATATTAGAGTTAATATTAAAAAAATTAATTTTT